CAGGACGAGGTTGACAAAAACCTTCACATTTAGGAGGAAATGGACCCAGAATGGTGGAATTGGTAGAGAAGTGGCCAGCAATACTTTCATTGGGGGATGGGGAGAGAAAAAGAAAAACCAAGCAAGCATGGCTCCTGTTTTTCTCCCCAATGCACACAGCTTGCAATTATTTTAAAAAGACGGTAAAAAGGAGTGCATCCTCCAAATTTTTCATTAATTCAGCAAAAAAAGCACTATTATAATGAAAACACGTATCTAGTTGACCCCAAAATCAATTGGCTATTGAAACTTTAAAAAAAAAATTAAAATAAGGGGGCGTGTGAAAGAAGAGATAAAGCATGTAATCAGAGACAGCTATGCAGGAAAATGTTAATTTTGATGAAAAAGCTACTTTTCATTTAAAAAATTATCATGGAAACATTTCAGCTGTTTCTACTGCAATAGCTGCACTCTGATATGGGAGACAGAAAGCTTGAAATAATTTTGCACATGCTTCAGCCAGGTCTGAATTTGACCTTTGAATTTCAAAAAAGACAAAACAGAGTCTAGCGATTTTTCTTCTTTGTTTTAAATTGGGTTTTCTCTGCTTGGCCTCCTTAAGTCAGAAGGCTAATGTAAATCTTAACTGCAAAATTTTAATTCAAAGTTTCTCCCTCCTCAAATGAAAATTAGCCTAAAAGCAGACAGAATGTATTTTGAAGAAAGTATCTTTCAAAAACTCAATAAAACAAATTTTAGAGCTGAGCTGAGTTTCTCCAGAGAGCCCACACATTTTAATCAATTCCGTATGCAACAGCCTTAAGCGCCTGTCAGATCCACAGCTCAACTTCGAAACAGATTTAGTGTCTGGACAATCCCAGTGAAACTTGCCCTTCAAATGCATTTTTGTGCGGTAACTTGTCACAACTTCCGGAGGCAATGCGGTTGGCAGCGTTACTCACATTCATCACAGAGTTGATCTCAGCGACTGCTTCGTCATCTGTGGGGAACTGATAGATCTGCACACCATTGCTGACCAGCTCGCTCATTATCTTTATCTTGAACTTGTGCAACTCGCTCTTGGAGATGGTGTCTGCTTTGGCAATAATTGGGATGATGTTCACCTACAGCAGAAGGAAGGAAGGAAAAGTAATCAGGTGAGCAGCAGCCAGGTAAGCAGCTCTCTCGAGAGCATGGGTGCCCGCGGGGTGGCCTGGGTCCTACCCCGGTGGCTGCTTTACATTTCATAAAACCACAAAGGTGCTACGTTTTGCATGTGAGCTGCAGCACAAGCCCAGCTGAACACCAGAGGGAACAGTTTTCCAGGACTGATTTGGCTACAAGACTTCCAGATAAACCAAAGACGAACGCCCTGCAATAAATACACAATGAGCAGATCAAAGCCTCTGCTCTTGCCTACATATTTTGTTACACGCTTTGAGGGAGGCAGAGACAGCATAACTGTCACATCTTGAGTTATCGCCTATCCAGTTCTGGCTGTGCTGACAAGCCGTTTTAGAAGACAAGCGCAGGGATGAAATGCTGCAGCAAGCTGATGTGGAGCCTTCCCATGCTTAAGCAGAAAGAGCAGGGGCTCCTCCGACGGTTTTCACAGCAGCTGCGGATCCTTCCTGAGGACCCCCTGAGCCTCTCCATGAGGATCACAACTCAGGCGTTCTGTGTGGATTATACGGACCACCTGGGAAAGGAGCAGGGTGCCATACGGCAGACAGGAGATTTGTTTTCATGCTGTCATTGCTCGGCTTTGGTTTCACACCAGCAGTCACCAAGCACAGTACCCCGCGCAGCTTCACCAACCCAGGTTTCAAAGCCACCCAACAAGCTGCAGGGTGGGAAGGTCCCCCCATGCCCGGTACATACCCAGATCGAGAGCAAACTAGGGCCACATCCCACACCCTTCAGGAAGTCACAGGAACCTCTATTAGATAATGCTGCTGTGCTCAGAAAAGCCATGTGCAATACTGCAAACCACTTCTTAAACAAACAACAACAAAACTTGTCTGTCTGAGAAGCAGCCAGATTCATAGCAGTAAAACAGAATAATTCAGACAAATGAGGGAAAAGTCTGATTTGCCATCTAACATTTCCCAAGAGTCAACGCTTTTTGTCCTACAGAGCAGAAATTCATAACAGCCATTTGGTCTCCAATGGGTGCCTGTTAAAATAAAATGACCCTGCTTTCCCATCTCAAGTTCTCTCTGTAGCTCAGTGGTTTTTCCATAGTTCTTGTTTTTTTTCTCCCCACTCTGGTTTAGCACTCAGTAAATACAAGAGCATTTACTCGCTCCAAAAGAAAATTGTCTTCATTTTCTCACTGTAAATTTATCTGAGAGGATAAATTCTTTATTTTTCTCAGCCACTGATCTGGCCTCTTTTACTAAGGACCACAAACACCCACAGAGAACAAGGTCTGCTGGTCTCATTCCACTCCTCAGCAGGTCAGTGTCCTCGTTACAAAGGTAAAAAGGACCATGACCACAGCTGGGTGTCTCACTGACCTGCTAAGAGCTGAGGCAGCTTGGATCTACTGCCTCACACAGAAAAAGGTCAGCTCAGGGCTCACGTGCCACACGCTCAGGAGAGGTATCTGCGAGGGGAAGGCACTGCCAGGGAGCTGCTATGTGCAGGGCTTTGCACTCTCCATCCAGCCAGGCACACGGACAGACCAGCACAAGAGGTGATTTTAGTCCATTTTCAGTTGGCCCGAGCAATTTCCCCCTCTTCTTCCAAAAAGCACCAGCTCAGCCCTGCTTACAGCGATGGAAGGGGCGCAGAGCCTGCAGCTCAGCACAGTTTCCCCAGCAGCAGGAGCAGGCAGGCTCTGTGGTCACAGATGCTGCCCCCAGCAGTTCTCAAAGAAGGTGCAAACCGAAATTGGTTCAAGTCCTCTCCAACCGGGTTCCTCATGCTTTAAAAAAAGGCAACTCGGTCAGCACCTGCTGTCACAGATTTCAAAACCCAAAAGGGTTTTAAAAGTTGTCTTATTTCCAGTAATCAATAGCCAACATCAATATTGTGGAGTCCTGGAAATGGCATTCGGGTGCATCTCCCTCTTTCTCTCTTCTTCCCTTGGAGTTCCTTAATTTTTTAAATTATTACTTTTTAAATTTTGATGTCATGCATGCCTTGGAAACCCACAAGCTTGAATCCCACAGTTAAGTGATACCTGGAGCACCATACAATTACTTTCCCGTTTTCCTTTCTCCGATTTTGAGCACTGGCACCCAAAAGCTAAGTCTAGAACGAGCTCATCTCTTTATAACAAGGAAAGAGGATGGAAAAGTTTGGACACAAGAAACAAATGAGATACAAGATGCTACCGAACTAAATTGCATCTCTAATCCTGCCCTGCTACAGCACCTTCCACGCATCTATTTCTATGCAAAGGGCACAGCATGTGGCACAGAGATTAGTGACAAATAAACTGATACACAACTAGCTAGAGAAGTGACCTCTCCTCTCCTTCCTGAACAGGTTTTAAAAACCCAATAAAAGGAAGTGATGCCAGAACCGTGCAAGGTTTCTCTCTCCACTCTTACTTTTACACAAATAACATTTACCATGGGTTGCAGGCAAAATCCCAGAGCAACATTCTTATACGTCATGGTGGAAAAGCAATATTCTCTATTTAAAGATCTAGTAATACAATCATTAAGTTAACTACTGGAGTGTCATCCCACTGAAAGGGACAGGTGTGCAGGGTTCCCTTGGACTGCCATCCATGTGCTGGAAGTCTTTGCTGAAGCTGGAATTACAGCCAGAGGAAGCCTGTGCTTCAGACAAGACAGTGAACTCACATGCACACACTAAAATTGCACCTCCTCCTCAACTCATTCTGACCACAGAGTTATTTCTCGTCTCCAAAAATACAACTTAGAAGAACGTGCCAAAATAAGTCAGTTGGTAGGGAATAATTTTGCTAATGTAATAAGGCTACATGCATTTTCACGCTGTGAAATACAGCTGGATTTTTACCCATCTCCAAAGTGTTCCCAAATGCAAGTCCCAGTGAAGCCAACAGGCAAATCCTACCTTGGAAAACAAACAGCAGAAGCACAAACTGGCCTGAAGTGTCCCCACTGGCTACTGACCCGCCTAGGATGTGTCAGCTCACGAAGGACAAGCAATTAGCCACAGCTCGTAAACAGCACACGCTGGCTGGAAACCATCCAGGGACAACAACCAGGGAGCCCCGGGATGCCCATGGCAGTGCACAGCTGTGCTTCCCAGGGCAGGGCTGTGGTTTAAATCAATAAATCACCTTCTCATCTGATACAGACACAATTTTATTTATCTCTTCCTTTTCCTGGGTTAAACCCAACGGAAAGCCAACCCCTGCCAGGTCATACACGCTTCCCACCTACCAGCCAGCCGCATTTCATCTACCTAGAACCACTTCTGAAGATGCTTCCAGCTCTCAGCTGTAATTAAATACCCTAGACAACAGCTGGCCATGAGCTCAGCCAAACAAATATTGTGTTACAGTACAATGGAAGATTTTGTTTAGAAAACAGCTTTACCCAGAAGGGATTTTGTAAACTTTACACTAAAAGCAAGATTCATTATTGAAATCGTCACACAGATTCAAAAGCCTGCCCAATGCCTGATGCCAGGCCACTGGTGTGCTAAAGCCTTGTGTAACTGAGCCAGGTTCCTACAAAACCCTGGTTAAACTAGTCTCAGAGGCTGAGCCAGCAGCAAAGTATTGCCTCCAATACACCTTTCATCTCCATGGGCTCCATTCTTCAGCTGTGAAATAGGGGCCACCAGCCACATAAAGCTTCTCAAGAGGAAGGCCAGGGTCATGTGTGCTCACACGGCTGCAGACGTGAGTCAGTGCACGTCACCTCTCTGCTCAGCCACAGTAACCACTTGCTGTTACCAGTCTGGAGCAGACAGAAAGCTGCCAGGGGTTTGCTGACACCCCACTTCACTCTGCCAACGCACTGGCCCCCAAGTACAAATGGTTCACAAGTCCTGGGAAAGGGGCATAGCACATAAATCTTCAAGGAGTGCCTGGAAAGCACCTTGACGTTCTGGGATGACAGCAGTGCAGAAATGCAACATAAGCCCCCGACACCCTGAAAATATTAATGGTCTCTACTTGCTTATTCACTGCCATGTGCCTGCTTGTGCAAGACCACCACACCATGAAATCCAAGATGTTCTCACACTGTGGTAAGAAGGGAGATGAGAGCAAAGGGGTAAAATGACTTCAAAGAGGAGTATTTAAGTGGAAGTTTAGAAATATAAAAAGCTTGCATGCATACAAAGTTCTCATCTCCACACAAGTACAAATGATTTATTTTGGTACTACCCAAGGACCACATTAAAGGCTGCCACAGGGAGATGTGAAAAGTAGGGAATGCAGAAGGAAAAGAAGAGAAAAATTTTGTGGGACCACCAGCACCAAGGGGAATCGTGCAAAAGCTTTCCTCCAAACATATTTCTGGGAACATGTAAGGCTGGCGCCGCGCCAAGAGACAAGAGTTTATTAAGGGAAAGTTTTTGGATTCCTGATGAAGTCAGTGTAACAGCCACCACGGTTACAAACAGCGCACTGCAATGGGAAGCCAGCGCCTGCTGTGGAGTGGGGCCAAGAAAAAGCAGGCCAACAGCCCTGGGTGGCGAGGGCGAAGAGCAGGGACTCTGCGAGGGGGAACTCTACCTGCCAGGCAAGTCCGACAGAGCTGCAGGTGGACAACAGCCAGACAATATTACATTCCCTAAATGTAATCCAGGGGATCCCCAGTTACTGCAGGGTCCCAGCCGCCTTGCCTGCCCCCTGCTGCTAAAATACTGCTCTGAAAGATAGGAAATTCTTGCAAAAAAAAAAAAGAAAAAAAAAAAAAAAAAAAAAAATGCCGCTGCCACCA